AGTAGGCCAGCGTACGACCGCCATACTCATTACGGATGCGCTGCCCTCAACTTATACGAAAGTCCTCGAAGTTTTGCTTAATCTTCTCCGGGCAGACCTATACGGGAAACTCCATGCGACCTGCAACTCCCGGAAGAGGTGGACCGTACCAAGCCGCTTCGTGGTAACCCATTTCTAATAAGTTAACCCAAAAATATATTCTGACAGCCAGGCTGCCATTAAGGCTCCCCAATGCAATCATACCACTTCAGAGAAGACAAAAAGCAGAGTAATCTTACACTAATTCTCGACTGTATGAGAAACGTCTGTGACTTGGATTCCTGAATACAGGGATATCCCGAGGAACTGCGCAGCCGACGAACTGGTCAGTGAAGGAACAGTCTTAACCACGATAATTATCTTCACCAGTAGGGCCAACAGCTGGAGGTGGAGCGAAACCACGTGCAATATTATAAGAAAAAATCTAGCCATTAATTGAGATAAGTAGAACCGGCATAATAACCGGACACTGTCTTACGAGGAATCAAAAGGATGGGCAGCTTTTTAAATGACTTCTGCCACATAGATGAGAAGGAATCGGCGTAACACTACCTCTGTCACAACCACTGCTCTCAGTGCGACCCGCTATTGCTTTCTTGGGAATTACTTCTTCGATTCCCTTGCAGAGCTTGCATCGGTCAGTGCTATTAATCTACTGTATTTCACAAAATTCACCAAGTGGTTTCAACATTTGAAAAGGTGGAATGGATCACTTTGTTAGAACGAACTTAGGTATCACAATGGGCCAATAGTTCTAGGTACGCTTAATCAGGGTTGGTTGATCAAGCAAACCGTTAAACTAACTAACTAACTATGCTTTGAAAACGAAAACTATCACTGTGGATTCAAAGCATTAAGGTCGTATGATAACCGACCTTTCTTTGACTGCAATTGAAGAACACGGCAGTGACAATATAGGGTTTCAACAAGATGCCGCCAGATGTCTCACAACATGGCGAATATGGCTTTACGACGAGATATGAGTTTTCCGGCTGCGTAATCTCTCGTCTTGGCGATGTCAATTGGGCATACAGGTTGTGTTATTTGACGCCATTGAACTTTTTTTGTGGGCCCAAAAGTGATTGAAAATTACCTCGAATGGTTCATAGTCTCGAAGAATTCACTTATAACGCCAATACTCAGACTTTATAAGAAAACAGGAAAATCATGAAGAAAATTATTTGAAATGCATTCATTTACATTTATTCGGGAAACACCAAAATGGAGAACCCTGTGCATAAACATCGATTTATTCGAAATTGTTTAATGTTTTTTTTGATATCTGCTATTATCTTGGATTAACACAAATATTAAATTAACTATTTCTGTTACCTTCACTTATTGTTATTTATGTTTATTATGGTTTTCTGTGTTTCAGGTTAATCAACAACGATTTATTATTGCCATTTTTTGATTTTTTTGCAACCGCCTTCAATATACGAATTTTATTTTTATTTTTTATTGCATTTTTTTATTATTTTTTTCTTTGGTTTTTTGTTTAATTATACAATCGATATTTACTAATCAGCAAAATTAAACGAATCCTATATTTGTTGACAGCTTGAAATTTATTGATGGCTTCAGTTCAATCTCGAAAACTGCATAATCAACAGCAACTGGTTTTATTCTGCACATGCATACATACATACGTACGTGTATGTAAGTACAATGAAAGGATGTATGAACTATTTCCTAGTGGGCAGGCTTGCAATCCACAAAGCACAAGAGTTTAATGGTTGAGTGCAGTTATTCACATAATTTCATGACGAACGCTTGGATACAGATGTAATGAATTAAAAACGCTGCTGAGACAACAAACTTAGTTTAACAAGGAAAAAAAAAGTTTTTTGAAATTATTTTATTGAATTTTTTTGAGTATCAACACAAAATTTTAATTCGGTCTTGATTGAACAGTTTAAATTCTATTTATAAATTATGCCTAAAACGAGGTCAAGTAAAAGTTTTATCTAAGAGTTGGCGTAGTTGTCCATAGTACTGGTGCTACGTATCGCATCATGCCATACTATACGGCGCTGAAGGCGTTTTTACTCGCGCTAAAAGTTTGTCTTTGACAGTTTTTCGATTGACTGACTCAGTACGCTATGAGAACGCTCTTCAAAGATGGATACCAGCAAAGAGAAAATTGGCTATATATTACAAATTTTTCCTCGATCAAGGCGAAAAAGCATCCAAGGCGCCTGAAAAAATTAATTTATGATAGTTTATGGGACCGATACTCTAAACGAAAAGTGGTCTGCTAAGTTCAATTCCGGCAATTTCGATGCAAAAGATGCAATAGGTTTTTCTGTGTGTTTGTTGGGATTGGCAAGGAGTCATCTACCACGAGTTGCTCCCCTATGGTCACGCTCTACTGCCAACAAATCGACCGCTTGATGGCACGCGCTCATCCAGAAAAAGCCATCTTTGATCAACCGAGGCCAATTGTACTCCAACAGGCCACACACGTCTGTAGTAACGCGCCAGTAGCTCCAGGAGCTGGTATGGGAGGTTTTAGCACTCACTTTATAGTCCGGACCTAGAACCAAGTGATTACTATGTTTTCCTGTCCATGGCAAACGCGCTAAAATGGTGTGATGTTGAGAGAGAAGAGCAGCCTGTAAAAATTGGCTCTGCGAATTTTTTGCCAATAGGGACGCAGCCTGCTACGAGAGAGCTCTAATGAAGTTGGCATCTCCTTGGCAACAAATTTACGAACAAAACAGCATATATCGGACTTAAATCGGACAAATGTACACAAGTTTATCATTTTTTTAAAAAATCAATAAAAAACCGAACGAACTTTTTACCTGACATTGCAGATCTCCAGATTACCGGGTATAGAGTACTGTGATCAGCTCGATATTCTTTCCTTGCTCAGCTGCTCAAATAATAATTTTGACATGACTATGGGCAGCTCTTAATGGTTTCCGAGAATATTCACGTATATTCTAAATTACTCAACCGGCAGCCCAGATCGGCTTTAGTGATTTCTACCTCTTGCCAAAGAAAGCAAAGAGAGCTGAGGGCTGATGAAGTCAAGGTGACAGTTGAAAATAAAGAGAAAAGAGTTCTATGAGGGCATAAATGACTTTCTAGAATCTCGAAAAAGGCATTTTTTCCCCTCACAGCTTACTTTTGGGTCCTAGGAATGATATGCAATTGGTTTGAAAGTGAAAAAGATATTTCAAATAGCTGAACTTTTTATTTTGTTGCAGCCCCTCAGAGCGAGTGCGGAGTACAGTGAAAACTTTTTTTGTTTTTAAACTTTTGTATTTCTTATTGAATCTGCTTCTTTATTTGAAACCTCACAATAAGTTTTCCGATCTTAAAAAATAAAGTAAAATATAGTAGCCCATTAGATAGGAATGTTCTGCTGGCTCAATGTCGCTCTTCACAAGGGTAGTAAGTCCCTTACCCTCTGGCGCGTTTGACTTGTTGCGGAGGCCAGTTTTGCTTTGAACTTTTGTGTTATAGCTTTCGGAAACCACCACGTTTCCCTAATCAGACTTTTTTCAGACCTTTTTTGTTACTTCAATATATGTTCAATTAAATGGTCAAATAGAAATTATATTCCCTTTCCCATATTCCTACAATAAATTTTTTAAAGTAATTAAACTTTTCAATCTCTAGAGTTTCTTTAGCCCTTAGTTAAGCGTTTAACCCAATTATTTTAAATAGCATAATTCTGCCTGAGAATTTTCGTTTATTTCTGATCTATTTATAATTCAGATCTAACAAAAATTTGTCTATCAAAAACGTAGTTTTACCCAACCTTCACCTCTCACCGCCAGCCAATCCCGCCTTCACTGCCTCTCATTCATGCTGACGTTTAATGAATTGCCGTTCAGTTTTGAAAATTTTATTGCAAAAATTTACATGTTGTTGAAAACTTGTTAACTATCAACTAAAATAATGCCATAAACGAAATTGAAAAAAATTAAATTTAAGTCAATACTGATTATTGCTGATTGACCGCAAAATAAAACCAGTGAACTGCTGAGCCAGCTGCTGTTCGTGGCACGACTTTTCGTTTGCACAACTTTTTTTTTTTGAATTTCGCGTTTCGGTATTCTTTTGATTGTTTTTTTTTTATAATAATTTTTAATGAATATTATTAACATTTAATCAATCAGTTGTTATTTGTTGCTGTTTTGTTTTCACTCTGTGTTATTCTTGAATTTGTAATGACTTTATAAGTTTTGTTTAGATTTTTGCTTACATTTTTGCTTAGCTCATTTCTTTCTTATTGAAAGTTTTTATATATTTTTTATTTAGCTTTGCACAATTTTCGTACACCTTCCCCACAGTTTTAAGTCAAAAAAACACTTATTAAGCATAATTTCGGTTCTTACGTTTATTGACCTTGCTGCTGCTGTTGTAAATATATTGACTCTAGTTACGAGTATTTTGCTTTACACTTGTTTTACTGCTTTTTGCTTACTATTTTCTTCTTTTTTCTTATTTTATTTCATTTCATTTATTTTATTTTATTTTTTAATTTTTTGATTTATATTATATATGTATACATATATTATATATACATATACGTCACTCTATTTTTACTGCCAATCGCGTATCGCGTGTTTCGTTACACTTAAAACCTGTTGCTTCCTCCTTCGAAGGCGGCTATGTGAAACGGAAATTTATACGGAATCACCACTTAAAATGTTTGAAAAATTACAGAAATTGTCTTTAAAAACGGTGTAATGTCATAACATTAATACTTCCTGGCGTTTTTAAGTACGGGTTGATATACAGAATTTCAATATTTGGATTATGTAAACTCTCTGGCAACTTATTCCTCCGGCTGCAAACTTTAGTACTGTGATCTCTTGAAAGTTGGCATATTAAATAAGATTTTAACTGTATTTAAAGCGCACAAATTTATTGACATTATTTTTCGTAGTATTTTACATTATAAAACTAAATTTGATTAATTTTGTTAATTTCATTACTTTCAGATTTGAGTTAAAGTCTCTAAAAGGAAACTAAAGGGAAAACAAAAGAATTGGGTAAGTCGCAACCTCAACTTTTACTAATTCTTGGGACTAGAAGTTAACATTATGTTCGGACAGATTTTGTTGTATTCGACACTAGCACACTGCTCAAGCAATTCGAGCTTATCCAAGCATTTCAAGCAAAAGTTTTTACTTTTTTCCCAGCACTTTTTCTTTAATAATAGATTTATTAATGCAAAGTTTAAAACTCGTTGATATGCGAAAGAAATTTTTACAGACAAATTTGAAAATTGGAAAATTTCAGATAAATGTTTGAGCAGTTGAGCATTGAAACATGTATCGAGGGGGTATAAAGCTGCTCACACGTTATCTAGAGCTCTAATTGGGAAAACAAATAAATTCAGTATATTTTTTGAGTTCCAAAACACAGTTTTTATTAAAAAAAAAGAAGTAAAAACTATTTCCTTCAGAGTATTGTCCTTCGGAAGCAACTACCTTTTCCCATCTCTTTGATAACTATGTATACTATTGTGAATAAAAAGTAAGGCAATTTTTTTTGTAAAATTGAAAAACTTTATTTTTTCTTCTACATCGATTTCGTCGCCTTCAAAATAGTCCCCTGCCAAAGCAATGCACTAATACCAACGCTTTTTCCAATTACCGAAGCATGTCAAATAGTCACGTTCTGGTATGGCCTTCAAAGAGCGCTCCCACTCAAGCTATCTTCAATCGACTCAAAACGGTGTCCTCGAACTGGTCTCTTGAGTTTTTGGAAGAGCCAGAAGAAATATGGTGCTAAGTCTGACGAATACGGTGATTGGGTAACGATATTCGTGGAATTTTTACCGAAGTGGTCAGGAAGGATGAGTGCTGTGTGCATTATCGTGATGCCAAAACCACGAAGGTACTTTTAGTGGTTTAGTAAACACAAGCGTAGCTAAAATACCATTGAGGATATTGACATGAAGTTTGGCGTAGATGTCAATGACAGTGTCACCGGTATTAAAAGAAAAGAATCAAGTCGGAATATTAATCGTACGAAGCTCAAATTGAAAATTCAACTTAGTTTTTTCTCAGAGTAGTATAATTGGCGGTTTGTAACCGCTGAAGTGATTTTCGGCCGCTATTCTACGCCCATTTTTGGTTTTGCGTTTAGATGTTTGTCTAACAAATGGAGTGACCTACAGTTTAAACTAAGCCGCCTCCGAAAGTATTACGGTTTTTTTTTTACGAGGAGCTTTTATTTTATTTTTATAACTTTTGGATCTTGGTCTTACCATGATTTGAACCCGGGGCTTCCAAATGGCAGTACGCAATGCTAACCACTTGGCTATTGCGACCGCCATAATTGACATTCTAAAAAATTATTCCTTTCTGTGCTCTATCCAATCATTTAGAAATTCTTCACTCTCTTCAGAAGGCCCGATAAAAACCAGTAGGAGAAAGGCGCAAAGTATTGAGAAAATGGCGGGTGGTAGTGGGACATGCCTTTTCTGACGTATATGACATTTTTTTAAGCAGAGCACAGTTCAAACGCTATCCAACATTATCTCCTCGTCCGTCTAATGTCTAAGGGAGAAGTCCAGCCCTACTGACAAAGTGTATGAAATGTAATCATCGATCGGGTCACCCAATAAAGTCCACTCACTTGCTTAACTTAATCTATTATATTTTTTTAAATCACATTCTATTTTAAGTTACTTAAACGAAAGTCTTAAAAAGAGTGCGGTGAGTATATGTAAACTCCATCACTTGAGAGTAAGCAATGCTTTTCCCTACGGCAGCCGCTCTGCAATCGGTATTCTGCCAAAAAATGCCAATTCGAATGGTAGATGACTCAAAGATACTGAAAATCGTAGCGTATTCAAGAGCACGTAATTTGAATGGTCGATATCGAAAAAATATCATAAGGAACTTTACAGAGACGCATGCGATAAAATGGCGGGTATATAAGGTAAAAGGCAAATACAGCATGAAGATAAGTTGGTAGAAAGCGTAATCAGCCCGCTGAGGAAAAATAAGAATTTTAAAAGGAAATTATGGAGAATTTTTTGGTCTGGGAATAAAGCAATGCATTAGTTATTGCATAAGCAGTAGGCATTGTTTATATAAAAAAAGTGCCTTTAAAAGGATTATTACTTCTTGACAATCAAGCTATCGAACTTAATGGATTTCGAAAATCATTTGGGTTCATTTTGTTGTAATCGGTTCGATATTTCAGGTAAATGGTAGCATAGTGGTTAGCATGGTGCACTGCCATTCAGAAGACTCAAATTCTATAAGTTTTAAATTTAAATAAAAAATTAAGTTAAATTTTCCAATTGGCGGCTTAGTATAAACTGTAGGTCCCTCCATTCGTTGGAAAAACATCAAGACGAGAAACCACAAATTGGAGGAGAAGCTCGGCCAAAAATCGCTTCAGCGATTACATTTGAGTATATTTTTTCTAGAGAAGCACTTAGGCAATCGCTCAGCTTTTCGAGGTGAAGACGAATTTCACCAATCAGCAGGAAAACCTCCACCAAACAGTCGCGTACATAGCGGCAAGACTGCAGTTAGAATCGGACGTAGAAATGTGTTCATTAATCCTCTCCTAAAACAGCTCAAGCAAAAATGGGATTTCCTTTAAAAAGTAACAAATTTACGAGGAAATTGTATTCAACTAACCTCGCTATAAATATTTATTAAATTTTAACCTCCTTAAGATATAAATATGTGTTGTGACTGCGGATTTTTGTACAAATGGTATAAGAGTTGTTTTTAGGTCCACCACTGCTTTAGCAGATATTAAGAGAAGAGATTATCGAGGCGAATCCCGCTGTCAATGAAGTGGTGAGCTGCACGAGTTATATGTTGATATGATTGTTCCCAGTGGTGAAAGCAGAAGAACATCCCACATCAATTGGATCGATCAGGTGTAGAGCGACCAGGTGCTGCTGATGTCATTTTCAACTGCCACCAAACAACGTAGAAAAGCAAGGATTGGTGCGATGTTGTTGATTCGACTATAAAGGCGTAAGCAACGCCTTAGACAAAAAAAAGAAGAAGAAGAATAAGTAGTAGAAGAATAGAAGATCGATAGATTATTTTCTCTAAAAATACGATATCAGGGCTATAGCAAATAGTGAAACTCTTCTTCTTTTATGAGTTGGTGGATAGATTATACTTCTTTTAGTAGATTTTAGGAGGCGATGACACACTCGTCTCTACAAACGAGTAAATGAAATTATGATGTGAATTTTTGTGCAATCTCTGAAAAGGTCATGGTGTGATTCTATATTCTCACCGCTCTTGTTGCTGAGGATTTTCTCCTCTGGAGTGATGTAAGGAAATCACTTCTCTAAGCGGAAGAGTGACCATTTCATAAATATCAGTACGAAAACAGATAACTGTAATTGCATTATACGTGCTCCAATAGTGTTGTTGTGCGCATCATTATTATTTTTTTTTTGTAACGGTAACGTACAATTAAAAATGTTGCAACATTTAGTGGCATGACACATGGCAAATGTCAATGAAGGCGGAAGCATTTAAGATTTGCATACAAATACAAGCGAATACTCTGACTTACACTCCCACACTTCAAATTATATATACAAATATATATATTTATGTATATATGCATATATTGCAGTAAGTAGCAGCGGCTGCTTTATTTGTGAATTTCTATTTATTTATGAATTTACAATTTTACATAATTACGAAAGGTTACTCATACGCCCTGACGCGTGCTTTTGTGCACGTCACGGTGTTTCAATGTCTCGCCTGTTGTTATTGCTGTTGTGGCTGCTACTGCAGAGTCGCTGCAACATGCGATTGTTATCTTAATTAAACATTGTCATCTAACTTTTTTCGTCATCATGTGCGAGTTCAAATTTGGTGCTTTTCACGTCCCATTGTTGGCTGCTGTTTCTTTCTTTTTTCTTTTAATTTTTTTTTTTCATTTTTATCTCATATAATTATTATATAATGCAGGCACTTTTTGCCTTTTATGCTAATTATGTTGTAGCTTCAGCTGTTGTTGCTGATATGTGCTTTTTTTTCTTTATCTGCCTACATATTTTTGTGTATGTAAGTGTATGTAGTGCTGTATGCGCGCCTGCGGCCTCTGTTGCCTCCGTTCATTTGCTACGACCCGGCGGAGTATTTTCCAGCTCGACGTGTGACTTTATAATTATACAAAATTGTTATTTGTTGTGGTTGTTCTGCTATGTTATACAATTAATTGCATGTGTTTGTATGTAAAAGTTTGTAAATAAATAAATTTTCTTGCATGCAGCAGCTGTTTTTTGCTTTTCGTTTATTTAGTGCAGCATTTTTTGTTTGCATAATTTCTTTAACAAACTACACACACACACGCTTACATACATAACTACTGCTATACATACATATGTATATAGTCTATTTTTACCACTTTTTTCTACTTTTTATGCCTTGCTTTTGGCTGCTGTTTGTGATCTTTCCATTTCTTTTGCTTCATCTTCGCCGCTGCGACATGCTACGTCTTTTTAAGTTCAAGTTGAATGTCGGTCTCTTTTGCAACCAAAACAGTTTATGCTTTCTTTCATCTTTTTGTTATGACATAAACAGTTTTTTTTTGTGAGCTTCATTTGCCTCTTTCGCCACTTATCTCTGTTTTAATTGTTTAATTACGGTTGCTTGCCGTTAAATAGAAATTTTTTTTGTATGACTTTTTCGTCCCCTGCTAATCGAGAATTATTGCAAAAATATTTCATAACAACTGAACTCACATTCGCTTGTTATTTTGCAATGACCATTGTTTCCTCACAAACCACATACCTTTAATGGAACTCTCTTCTCACAAAGAGAAGGTAGATAGCTTTTTAGATTGAAGTGGTTGCCGTGCATTCATTTAATTGCTTCACAAAACGAGCCGTGCAGAGTCTAAAGACACCCTTCTATTACTCAACCCAATGTGTGAAGCTTGAAAAACTGTGCGATCATCATATCTTTCTCACCCGCTTTCTCACTCAAGTCTCAGGAGGTTGACGCTCCTAAATACTTCAACCTACTTCTCCAAAGTACGGCGGACT